CTGTGAGTTCTAGTCCCACTTTAGGCATGAAAGCAGCTGGGTGACTTGGGCCAGTCACACTCTCTTAGCCCTAGGAAGCAGGCAATGGCAAACCACTTCTGAAAAACCTTGCCAAGAAAACTGCAGGGACTTGCCCAAGTAGTCACCAGGAATCAATGCTGACTCGAAGGCACACACACACACACACACGCACACACACACACACAGTCCTTCTAAAACAATAGAAATACTAGTGGTGGAAAGATATATTCATATATTTAACAGAACAGGACACATAATATTGGAGTGCACCAAACTGCCCTTGTCTGGACTCAGAATCTAAGAGGGGCTGGGCCTGGTGAATACCTGAGGGGGTGGCTACCATGGAATACCAGGTAGCCTATTACTATATAGTGAAACCTTATTTCAGTGGACTAATTGAGGGAAACAATATCTGTTATTCTCCAAAGTTTGACAAATCAAACAGTATGTCATTGTGGCAACACACAAATGACAGAGTTTGCACCACTTGAGTAATAGTCTCATTATGCAAATAGCACATCATTTGCACAGCGGTATCATTACCCAATTGATATAAATCCCAGCAGAATTTGGTATGTTGTATGTGAAGTTCTGGAAGGAAAGAGGACGACTAGCAGCAAAGTGGATGGACCCAATTACAGTGGCAATGGGTGCACCATTGGAAGACCTGAGGATCAGATTGGGCACTGACCTTCTTGGAGAAAATCTATCTATGTGGTCACTAAGAGTTAAGATCATGTGAAGTCCATTGCATAGAGGTCCAGAAAATTGAGATTTCATTATGATGCCCACTAATCAAAAAAAAAAAAATCGTGATGATTGTAGGTTAGAGTGGGATTCTGGGAAGTTAAAAAACATCTCAGAAGGCAGTGGCAAACCAATTCCATACCATTACTAAGAAAACTGAATGGAGGTCTACAAGCACAAAGAAGTAGGAGAAGGAGAGGGGGAGGGGGAGGGGAAGAGGAAGAGGAAGAGGAAGAGGAAGAAGAGGAAGAAGAGGAAGAAGAAGAAGAAGAAGTACTAATAATCCTTAGGTAAGGTGGGCATCTAGTGGCCATTCTCTGACATTGCATGAGGTTCCAAGTTACTAACAACATAAAGCAGCCAAGAGCATATTATGACTTAGCTGAACCACAGCCCTTTAAAAGATGTCTCCTATGTTCATTTTTTTGTTTTACACAAAGTCCATAAGGGGTTTCCAGTCAGCAATAAACGTAGAT